GAAGGACCCAGAAGGTAACACTGGTGTCATAAAACCTTTTGTTATAGACAGCATCCCCCTCAACCTGTGGGGCAGACACATTCTTTCTCAAGTGAAAATTCTTATGTGCAGCCCAAATGAAGTAGTAACCCATCAAATGTTAAAGCAAGGTTTTCGGCCAGGGCAGGGTCTGGGAAAAGAGGGTCAAGGCATCAAAGAACCTTTGAAAATCTCCCCCCGACAAGTTCGCTCAGGTTTAGGGCTGTCAAATTTACCCTAATGGCTGTTGACATGCCTGCACCCCAGCTTTGTGCGGATCCTATACTATGGAAATCCGATGATCCCGTCTGGGTTGATCAATGGCTATTACATGCTGAAAAGCTTCACGCAGCTCGCATGCTAGTGCAGGAACAGCTAGCTGCAGGACATTTAGTAGAATGCACCTCCCCTTGGAATACTCCCATTTTTGTTATTCGTAAAAAATCTGGCAAGTGGAGGCTTTTGCAAGATCTTAGGGCAGTTAACGCCACCATGCATCTTATGGGAGCCCTACAACCAGGACTCCCCTCCCTGGTGGCTATCCCCCAGGGCCATTATAAGGTAATTATTGATCTTAAAGATTGATTTTTCACTATTCCCCTTTCCCCACAAGACCAAAAGAAGTTTGCTTTTTCTTTGCCCTCCATCAATTTCAAAGAGCCCATGCAGCGGTACCAATGGGTCATTTTGCCACAAGGGATGGCCAACAGCCCTACCCTTTGTCAAAAATTTGTTTCTGCTGCACTTTATGACATTTGCCAAGCTTGGCCAAACTTGTACATCGTCCATTACATGGATGACATTCTCCTCGCAGGACCACTGCAGAATGAAGTTTTACACTGCTTTAGTCATCTTTAACAGCAGTTAGTTAAGTCAGGGCTTGTTATAGCGCCTGATAAAGTTCAGTTACAAGATCCCTACACTATCTTGGCTTTCATATTCATGGACCCGCTATTACCACTCAAAAAGCAAGCCTTGGCCGCAACCGTTTGCGAACGCTTAATGACTTCCAAAAACTTTTGGGAAATATAAATTGGCTTTGGCCGTACTTAAAAATTACTACTGATGAGCTCAAACCTCTTTTTGCACTTCTAGAAGGGGACCCCCAGCCTAACACCCCCCGCTCGCTTACTCCTTCAGCTTTACAAGCGCTTCAAAAAGTGGAGGATGCTATTGCAAATCAATTTGTTACTAGTTTGGATTATGCCAAGCCTTTTTGTCATATATTGTTTAGTACCTCGCCAACACCAACGGGGTTGTTTTGGCAAGACAATCCTGTTATGTGGATTCACTTGCCTTCCTCTCCGCGTAAAGCTTTGTCACCCTATTATGATATTGTAGCTGATTTAATTGTACAAGGACGCCAAACCAGTCTCAAATATTTTGGTTTGGAGCCCTTTAAAATCATTCAGCCTTACACTCGTCCTCAAGTTAATTGGCTTTTACAGCAAACCGACAGTTGGCCTGTCGCTTGCGCCTCCTTTGTAGGAAGCATAGACAATCATTATCCCCCCATAAGCTTGTCCAGTTTTGCATCCTTCATTCCCTCATTTTTCCAACAATTACACAACAGCAACCCCTAAACGATGCATTTTTGGTTTTCACCAATGGGTCCTCCACAGGGTGTGCTGCTTTTTCTGTTAATGGCGCAATTACTCAAGTCCAAACTCATTTTAAGTCCACTCAGCTAGTTGAATTAATGGCAATTATTCATGTGCTTTCCGCTTTCTCCACCCAACCCCTTAATATTTATACAGACAGTGCCTACCTAGCATACTCCATTCCACTATTAGAAACCACCCTACAGATAAAAAGGACCGCAGAAACTTCAGCGTTGTTCCTAGTTTGCCAACAAAAAATTCGTAGTAGAACAGCCCCATTTTATATAGGTCATATTAAAGCCCATTCAGGTCTTCCAGGACCTTTGTCCTTGGGCAATGAGGCCGTTGATGCAGCCACCCGCTTTGTTGCTATGGCCATAGTCAATAACATTCAGCTGGCACAAACTGCGCATTC